GTGAAGGAGAAAAACTGCATAAATCCCATCGGGGAAAACACTAAATATTCCCAGCTGAGAAAAGGGCAGTGGAGCTGCTCATTTAAACCTCTGTACCTATGGAAACCAAACCACAGTGCAGCTTATTTATCAGGTTGAGCAGTGTGGCTCCATTTCCAGGTGTTGTAGACTGAGCCTGCTTTGATTTTACCAGCCCGGACAGAGTCCTGCTGCTGCTGCTATAAATACTAATGGAATGGATATGTGAAGTAATCCTCCAGGGAATCAGATAACTCATGTTTGCTGAGTATGGATTTTTGTGTGGGTGGTGAAGTGGGTGAGGGGTTAGAAGGTTTTGGAGAAGTTCTCCAAGGCTGTGGTCTGAAGAGGGTGGGAGGTTTTGTTTTTAGTAAAGTTCACATTTTTGTTGTTTTTTTTTTTTTTTTAAAAAAGGTTCTACACTCTTAAAAATAGCAAAAATACAAAGCTAAAAGTTTGGGGTGGTTATAAAAACTTGATGCAGGTAGTTTGTGATAGATTTGGTATTTATCCCAAACACCAAGACATTAGCTAACAAATTCAATCAATTGGTTTGCTCACAAAAGCTGGACTGCATTTTTAATTTTTTTTTTGTTTACAAAAATTTTTTAGCTAGGCCTAACAACTATTAACAAAAACCTAAATGTTAGAGACAAATTGTAAAGAGTACCGTATTTTCCAGACTAAGTCGCAACAGCCAAAAAAATGCAAAATGAAGAAGAAAAAAACATTTAAGTCGATCCAGGGTATAAGTCGCACCAGTACCCTCTAGTGGCTGTCAGCGGAAAAATAACAAACATGTGAAATTATATATTTAAATATATAAGTCGCACCTAAGTATAAGCAAACCCAGCAAAAGTATGAAAAACAGTGCAACTTATAGTCCGCAAAATACAATCCAGGAATAATGACATGCCTCACGGTCCACTAAAGGCATCAACCTAACCCAACACTTTGTCTCCCAGTGGTTCTGGCGTGTGCCCTTCTGTCCCTCCTCTCCTCGTCACATGCCTGTCCAAAAGAGTGCACCTGCAACAGCAACACCAATGTGGTGGACTGCCGTGGTCAGGGTCTATACGACATACCCCGTCGACTCCATCCAGACACCGAGGAACTTTACCTCCAGGATAACCGGATCAGAGGACTGGGATCCATGGCCTTCAGGGAAATACCAATGGTCCGAATTCTGGATTTATCCAACAACTCCATAACAACTATTTCACCTACTGCTTTGCTAGGTGTGAGGACTCTACAGCGCCTCAGTCTGGCCAACAATGGCCTGAAAGACCTGGACAAAAGGATGCTAGCACCCATCAGAACACTGACGCACCTTGATCTGTCACAAAATAGGTAAGAACAAAAATCTGAAACATTACATATGATGACTTTGCTGAAATGTCTATGTGGAGGACAGACATGTTTACGTGGGCTACAGAGGCTCGAAGTGGATGGGGTTTGGGCAGTTAAAATGAAGATAAGTGCAGTACAATTTGAGAGAAAAGCTCCAAGGGGTACTAAAACAATTAGCAAAAAATGCCAAATGTTAGCTGGCTAAATGTTATGCAACAGAAAATGTAAGCAAAAGATATATAAAAAGCTATCAAGATAAAGACTAAGTAATTGCAATATATCTAAAACAGTTATTTGAAATGACAACAGAAAGGTTAAAAAGCGCTAACAAAATAAGCAAAGAACAGATAAAATAGTAAACAATACAAAATAGTTTGAAGTTTGCTAGTAGTTTCACAAAAACAAACAAAATGCTAGCTCCAGTTTTTAAGAATTAAATTTTAAGTACCAAAAAGGTAAATCACTAGCTAGCAGGAACAGCTAGCAATTCTATAATTAGTCACAAAATCAATCACATAGTGAACGGTTCTTCAATAAAAAAAAAAATCTGATTTGTGTATCGCCTCTCATTTTTTCCTGTGATGTCACTTCCTGTCAGCCTATGGGGTTTACCGGCAACTTTTGGGGAAAGTTTGACCAACCTCAGTCACCTGGGACTGGCTCACAACAAGATGACGCGGTTGGACCGTTCCCTGCTCGAGTCCATGAGCCGTCTGGACAGTCTCACTCTACGAGGAAACTCCTGGAAGTGCGACTGTCAGCTCATCGGCCTAAAACTTTGGCTGGAAACCTACGTCTTTAAAGGTCAGAGCACATTCGCTGTGGGCAGTGACTCCAGTGCATGTCTGCTGTGTTCTTATGTGCTGGGCAAGATATTAGATTATGGTAATATTTAATTCTGCCCATCGTGACCAGCTAAGTAGCTAATATGTAAAATAAAAAGATTGGAAACAGATGTCATTAAAGAATGTTTAAACAGTATGAGGTTCTTAAAAATGTGGTCTAGCTCAACAAAGGTCAAAGGGCGTGAAATGTGACCCACTCTGCGACAATGTTACATCAGAGCTGAGCATCTCCAGAATTTAGACAGATGAGATGAAATGTCAAAATTGTGTTGTGTTCGCAAGGTTTTATGTCAAAACCAAAGTTACTGATGAGAGGTTTAGCTTTAGTTCTAGTCAAACCTAAAGTTTTTTCGACGCCTGATAAGCCATCAGCAGACAAAATAACCAGTGTACAGTAAACGCTGGCCTCCCCCTCGCTGCTGACTTTTCCCGCCTACGTGCCTGCCTTACCCTGACACTGTGTTTGTCTTAAAGCCTGAAAATTCTAATTACTGTGAACCAGAACAATGGCATCATGATACAAGGATGTGTTTACAGGGAGAACTGGCTTATCAGGCATGAAGAGTAGAAATTGGTGACACAGTCAAAGCAAATACACAGAGAACTGAACAGCAGACAACACAGCGTCCTAACTCTATTATATCACCAACACACTTGATTCCTTCAGCTTTTCAAGCTGCCAACTTCTCTTACAAGGGGCAAACATGTGAGTCATTAAACACTGTATTTAAGAAATGCTTAAATAAAGCATTTAGTGAAGTTGGTCACTTCGTGTTCGTCGACTTCCATACGCATCTCCCTCGAGCCTTCCATATTTTTTCGTTATCTACGTAATTTTCTTTCTATTCTGTGCATTATTCTTCATGATAGTGATGAGTCACATAAAAGTGAGTGGAATTGTCGATAAATATAAGCGCCGTGCCCACTGAAGAAAGAAGAAAAAAGAAAAATAAATAAAAAACAGAAAATTAAAAAATACGTAAGTTAATTCTAAGTTTATGTAATCCTCCTCCACACATGCTGCCATTAGCCGCCACTGTATCGTCTGTCTCGATGGTAAGAACTCATAATTAAAACCACATTTTATTTTATATCGCATGAATCCTTATATACTATAAAAACATTTGTGTGTCTCTATAGCAATTAAAAGCATTTCCAGTGTTATTATCACTAATAAGGGAGTGTTTTAGAGGGCCGGAACAATTAATATGTTATGGGATCTTTGACGTACAACTCGATTTTCGCTGTAAGTCAGAACTCGCATATTGTACATAAGTACCTATTTCACTCACTTACGCTAACACAGTGGCTTAGGAGCCATAATGTAGGGCAAGAAGTTCCCAAAAACAACACAAAGGAAATAATGCAAATGTAGAACAACCCAGTGTACGGCATACAAACATCTGCCCCGCTTGCTAACTAGTTCCGTGCAAAATGGAACAAGACTTTCTTAATACATTTGTGGGAGATGGTGACGAAACCACGACAGACCATAGGTCGAGGACGCCTGTACCAGAAAGTAGACTATTGGAGCAAATACTTAGAAGAAAATCTGGCCTCCTATGCCATTAAATCCAACTTGGATTCTTGGAATTGCAGTGTTCATGGGCAAGTTTCTTGATTTTGTGTTAAAACAAGAGCAATGACATTGACTGTGTGAAATTCTAAACTCCAGGTGGAGTGTTGGACGAGGTGCTGTGCTCCCAGCCTGAAGAAATGAAGAAAAAAGACCTGCAGAAAATCCCCTACCAGCTCTTCAGCGCCTGCATGACAACAAGCTACCACTACCTGTTCGCCAACATCCAACACCTGGAGGCAGAGAGACTCCTCAGAGGCTCTGCCCATGGAAACCAGGCTTTTCACGTCCCTGTGGTTGTGGGTGAGGGCTTTGAAGGTGGCAATGCAGGAGGAGGAGGAGGGACAGGAGGAGGGGCAGGAGGAGGGGCAGGAGCAGGTACTGTGCCTGAGTGTGAGAGTAAGCAAAAACCACGGCCTGTCAACTTGCGGCACGCCATCGCTACTGTCATCATCACCGGGGTAGTGTGTGGTATTGTGTGTCTGATGATGCTGGCGGCCGCTGTGTATGGCTGTGCCTACGCTGCCGTCATGGCCAGATACCAACGGGAGCTAAAGAAGAACGAGGAGTTGGTTGCTGTGCAGGCGGCAGACAGTGCATCACTGGATGAAAAAGAACCTTTGGAGAACGCTATTGCCTGAGAAAGGTTTAAGAAAAAAAAAAAAAGAACAGTGGACTTCTAAATAACCTCAACCCTTTAACCTGAACCCCTTCTGGAGGCCATTTGTGTTTGTTCATGTATGTTTAACAAAAGGAACACACTGTAATGAGTGGAAATATTTGACATGTTTCGTGTTTCGCCTCATTTCTCAGACTGGTAGCTAACATTAATGGGTATTTGACTATGCACTGATCACAGTATCTTTTACCAGAGTTGTGCTCAAATGGTGGGTCTTGACCTAAAGGTGGTTCTTGGGGCCTGAAATCATGGACCGATGAACCCAGACAATATTGTATATGTGGTTTTCTTGTGATACACCTGGGAGGATTTGGCCATTATTTATGTTCTTCCTAACTTAATGTATAAAGAAGGTTATTTCTACAGGAAAAAAATACTTAAAATGGTTTGGTCTACTTCCAGTACAGCTTAGCCTACAAGGGTAGGAATAATTTAATTGAAATTCTTAGCCATTTATTCCACCTCTTGCATTAAACTACCTATTTAGGCAACATGATTGAGTAAAATTCAAACCTTCATGGAACCAAAATAAAGAGACCAAACACTCAGGTAAAATATAAAGTACTAAGGCTATACCATTTGAGAACTACTCTTCTGTATATGTGAGTTTTTTATGGAGACGCCAAAGATATATATATATATAAATATATTTGAATTCCATTCTGTCCTAATGCATATTATAAAAAAGAAGAAATTTATTTATATTTATAACTCTGTATTTGTAAATAGAGAGTAGTCCAGTCTAGTACAACTTGTACTAGTCAAGTCCTTAGTAGGAGTAGAGATGGGTAATAACGTTATAGAATTGATCATCTTTCTGGTTTTCGGTCCTGATTTACAGTCTGTGACAACTTGTAGTGAGCAGCTAATGTTGTGTTGTAGTTTGTGTTTCCTTTGTCCCTGAGTGTGTGACGTTTAGACAGACCTGATTAATACAACAGGTAGAACAGTTATGTTAAAATAGATAACAAAGCAGAAGACTTAATAGATAAGACCTATAGTGATATATAAACAATATTATATATCACTACATGACATTTTGGTGAAAGTGACTTGGCACAGGACAGTATATAGAACAAGATAAGTTTTACAATGGGATCAGAGCTAACTTTGATTCCAATGTCTTTGGTGTAAAAGAGCTGCTGTCTTGACATAATCAAGACAAATTAACGTGTCAGTCTTCAAGCTACCACAGAACACCCAACTTTTAGTGTTTTGTTTGTTCTTTTGTATTCGACGTACTGAAGCAATTTCATATTAAAAGCACAAGCGATGGTAAGCTGCACTAAACTGGGGCTGAACTTATGATTCCTACATGCACATTTATAGAGAACTTTAGTCTGTTTGTCATAAAACGTAAAAGTATTTGTATGTAGGATTTTATGGAGAGGTTAAAGACAGGATGAAAACTGATCAAAGCAATAATGGAACGGGACAAAAATATGAAGTCGTACCATGGACTCGTGGACACACAAGCACACACTAATGACGTGACTCTGTATGTGAGTGGATGCTGGTTACATAACCATACTCATGTCCTCCAGTATGTATTATATAAAAGTAAATATTTGAATTTATTACTGTATGTTAACTGATGCCGACAGTGACAATCTACTGCTAACACAACAGTCTTTAAATGGAGAAACTATTGTAATAAAAGAGGGTTATTTTGTTCATGCTGGTGTGGAATATTTTATCTCTTCTTCTACATTGAACTGAACAGTGTTAGACCTACTTGGCTTTTTTGTTATTTTTGCCAATGTTGTTAAACATGGACATTTAGTCATTTCTAAACTGCTTTAAATCCTTAAATAAAAAATACTTTATAGTGATATGTTAAAAAACTATATATTTGTTACAGATTGTAGGCTAAATAACGATGTCACCAAAAATAGCACAGGTGCTAATAAATGATTGAAAAAGCGCACAATATGCATAGAATAAAAATATGCATATTTAGAATGTAGCCAAAACCTAACCCTAACCCAACTGTACCCACAAATGCCTTAATGAAATTCCACAGTAACACACATATGTAGTCAAATCAAAAAAGCTAGCTTAAAGCCTAGCTTATAGCTAAGTTAACCAAAACACACATACTTCAATGATAGTCAAAGGGATTCAGTTTCCTAGAAATGGGCAGAAATAAATGAATGTATGAACATCAATGTTTTGCTGTCATGCAGAAATAAAGGTAATGGTTAAAATTGTCAAAATCTAGTGAATAAAATCAATAAAATAGCAAAGCAGGTGCTGTAAAGGTGAGCTAGAGAATAGAAAATAAGATCATGTGAACAGAAAAAATAGCTAAAAACAGATAGTTAAACATCAAGCGAATACCTTGATAAAGGCATTAAAGAAAAAAAAATCAATATTAGCTCAAAAAGTGATGTCTTTCAAAGATGCGCAGCCTTTGGTTGTAATGTAATTGAATGTGTCTGTGGTTATTTGGGGCACGTGGCTGGGTATGTGACCGAACGCATACACACACACAGGAATAAAGTATGAAACCCCAGCAAACCCCTGCAGGGCTTAAATGTGTGATGTCATCAGCCTGTCTTGTTCAGTTATCATTGTTTGGTTTTTTTTATACAGAGTCTGCAGCTCAGTGAAGAACAAGAGCAGAGAAATCTGGACCAGACCGGACTGGACAGGAATATCACTGGGTCATACAAATAGTAAAAGAAAAAGAATTTGTTTCCCTTGTACGCACATGTGAAGGGTGTATTTGGTGTGTGAGTCTAATATGTGTGTCTCATCACAGACTCCAGCATCTCTGTTCTTCTGCTCCACTGCATTCCCAGCAGGGCAGCAGAACCCACAATGCACTGCTTCCATGTCAACATATTCACACACTGATATATATATATATATGTGTATATATATATATATATACAACGGGGGAAATAAGTATTGAACGCATGAACTTTTTTGTCATTACATTTATTTCCAAAGATGCAATTCATGTGACATTTCTTCCAGACACTGGTATTAACTTAAATAATCCACACATAAAAAGAAATCACAACATTCAAATCCATAAATAGTGATTATGTGGAATTAAGTGCAATAACACAGGAAAAAAGTATTGAACACACCATGGTATATATATATATATATATATATACATATAAATCTTTGACAAAATATTGACATGCTCACTCACATATTTCTGTATCAGTAATTTGTCATACAAAACTTTTGATGATTCAACTCGGCATCAACTTATAAATCGGTTTATAAATAAACACTGGTCCTAGGCCAGTTACAGCTCATCTTTAGATTGAGTTTGACACCTGTGTTTTAAATATGCATATTTAAACATCAAGCCTTGCGCCACTGTACTGCAGAACAGTCAGTTTTCAGTGAATGTGAGAAGTCAAGCTGCTCCTTTGCACGTTGCATTTTCCAGCGTTTTCCAGCCCACCATATGTGCATTTATAGTGTAGGTGAATGGTCACGTGGCATATGCATACATGCAAATTCAAAGCTACATCTCACATCTGGACGTACATTTGATTTGCCAAAGCAGCATGTGAGAAAGGCTGTATTAAAACAGTGAGAGAAGAACGCTTCAGTTCCCACTTACCCGCAGCTATGGGTGATTTCCTCTCATCCAGAAGCTGAATGGCTGTACTGGCCAACACCACACTCTTGTTTTCTGATCCTAAACCGCACACACACATACACACGGAGACAGAGAGAGGGAGAGAGAGGGAGAGTTTACATCACGGTCATATCATCATTTCTAACACCAGCCCTCGACCGACCACAGGGTGATTGCAGAGAGAACCGGCGATTTCCACAGATTCATGTTTCATGGTTTTTGCTGTAACAGGAAGTCGGCAGCAGTAAATAAGAGGCTTTCACATCGCTCCTGTTAGCTGGCACTAATGAAGAGCCTGAGGGTCGAAGACAGACGAGAACACGTACTGCCTCTGGAGGAAAAAGCAGTTAAGACAAATATTTGTGTGTGATTGTGTGATTGTGTGTCCGTGTGTCGTCATCTCTCTCCCCTGCTCTTAAGTGTATGTTTGTCTTTTCTGGCTGTGGAACCGGAGCTGAACCTCCACTGAACGTATCTGGTTTCAGCCCACAGCAATCAGTCGTTTCCACAAGAACACAGCCCAGAATTAATAAAGGGAGGAAGGGGAAGCAGAGATGTGGAACGAGAGTGAGGGAGTGAGAGGGAGAGAGAGAAAATAAACACAGGCGAAAGAAGGTTAGAGGAGAGAGTTAAATCACAGAACTAATTTGTTTGTGCACACGAACAAACAAATCCAATTTTAAAATACTTCAGAGTCCACTTGACTTTTATTACAGTACATTACATCATTAGTGACGGTTATTTAAAATAAATATCCTGATTTCAGGTACAAATATAGACATAATTACCACCTAGAGTTTAGTCACCCAAAGCAGTAACATCATGAAGTGAGGAAATCTTGTGTTTCTTTTTTACTTTTTATTAATGGGAAGAGAGAAAATAATGTAATAGATGTACAGCAGGTTAGGGTGATAAATCACAGAGATGAACCTCGTGTGCAAAAATTTAAGTCAATGTAAATGTCAGGGTGATAAATCACAGAGATGAACCTCATGTCAATGTAAATGTAATCTAAGGATTGCATAGGATTTCAACTGAAACTGAAGTAAAGAATTAACTAGTTGCTAAAAAAAACCAAACAACAAAAACGAAGTAAAACTAACATAAAAATATCACACATAGCAGGTTTCCACCTCAGCCAATATAAAAACATTGTGCAATTTTTTTCAGAATTCACAGGTCTTTCTTTGACTTTATTAGAGGTGAGATCTTTAGATCACTGACCTGTGTTAAAGGGCAGGGAATAGACGAAAGTTCCAGGAACTTGTTCTGCTGCTCTCTTGTACCACAGAGGAAAGTGATCGGCGTTGAATACGCCTTCCTTGTCCTCCGCTGTAAGGAAGTCTCTTAAACCAGACAGGGAAAAAACAGTGACATTAGAGGCAATTAAAGGGAGACCACTGAAATACACACTTACTCTGGTAATCCAAGGATAATTTAAACCTATAAACCTTTTCACTACCTGGCACCAAACATACATGTCACGACACATTTATACACCATAAATGAAATCACAGTACTTACTGATTTGTTAGCTCATCAGGAACCACAAACAGGTTAATCCTGGAGAGGCCTGTTCTTGTCCCAAGGTAGGCAATTTCAACACCTTTATCTGAGTTTCTGCAGATTAGAAAACATTTTCACACAATTGGTAACATGATACAGTACTTATTTTCCTTCACTTTCTGCGTTCTTATGCCTCTAGCTGTGCCGGTGCTCGGGCAACTGTAAATCATTGCATTTTACAACTCCCAAAGTAATATACAGCTGCAGTTGATTTTAGCACATCAATTAAGAGGGAGTCACTAACTCAGATTTATTGAGCACCAGGCTGGTCCAGTAGGCCTCCAAAGGTGCAGTCACTACAGCATCAAACAGAACCTCCTGTATCAGCTCTTTGTCACCTGGAAGAAAAAAAAGAAAGTCACACTTTAATCACTCCCACCAACACACAAATGGAAATGGGCTTGTAATCTTTTTAAATGTAATAAGTACAAAACAGAGGGTAAGTTACATCTTAACGACATTGTTGGCTGAAAGACACTTTAACTGGGAAGATGACAGAATAGAGCCTGTCTCATAGTCAACGTTCTCTGGCTACATTAACACAGCGGGAAATCCGTGCGCATAAACCCACGCAATTGTTTTTCAATTAACACATTCATTTTCCCTGCATTTAATTTTATTACTCAGTAACAAGTTATTTTTAAATGTAGCAAAGTACAATACTTGAGTCAAAATGTACTTAAGTAAAATTACATATTTCCAAAACTACTTAAATTACAAATTACTCAAAAACTACTCAATTACAGTAGCGTGAGTAAATGTAATTTGTTGCTTTCCACCTCTGGCTAACAATAATGATTTTGTTAATAAATATAGATGAGGTAGAGTGAGCAGCTAATTTCTTTTTTTTTTTTTAAGAAAAGTTGATAGATAAGGAAACAATTATAGAGCATTTTTAAGAAAGAGTACTAAAGCAGGTTTGTCAGAGGAACTCACAGTGCAGGTGAGGCTCGTGTCCACTGAGGTACAGTCCGATGGCCTCGATCTGGGACAGATATCTGTGCTCTGGATGCTCGTCTGTGTTGCAGTAGGTCCTGTTTGATGGAACATTTGTTATAAGAACACCACCAAAATAAATGTCTTATCATTTACTACCTATAACAGTGATACCTTTATGGGGCTTTCTCAGCAAAAGCTATTCAGTTCCACATACACAAACGTAAATGGCACAACTTGCATGTGACTTATACGACAAGTCACTCAGGAACATGAAAAAAAAAAAACAACAAAAAAAACATCTTACCACTCATCTGCTAAAGCCACATCCGGATGTTCAAGATCATGAAGACCTGCAACCACAACCAAAATGTTGTAGATATGAAGTTAGAATCTGACCACACATCTACAGCTCTCTCTCTCTCTCATACACACACTCTCTATTCTCATTCTCTCTTTCTCACTCACACTTCTAAAAACTGTCTTTATGAGTGTAAGGAAAAGGCAAGTCATCTATTGAAGCTTCGCCAACTTTCTTCTTCTTACTCTTGAATTTATATTTGGCTGTAACAAAATTATGATTTCAGCTAGTCTCTTGGCTACAATATTGATCATCAATCATTAATCTAAACACTCTTGAATAAACATGTACAAAAATAATTCTAACTAGTGTCCCATACCTTCCTCAACTGTGACGTTTCCTCTGAAGAAAAACTTCCCATGACCTCTGGAAAGAGCAACTCCAAGACTGAAACACCAGGAGCAAAGACATCAATAAATATCAATATCTTGTCGTAAAAATGCATGAAGGTAAAACTTCCCACTTCAAAAAGTGTTCTCATTTATCTCACCTAAAAGGTGTTCCTTTGATGTCAGTGTAGTAATAGTCATTGTGCAAAACCAACACACGTTTCTGTAACAAAACACGTAAAGAACCACGAATTTAGAGCTGCAGCATGAAGGGCAGGATTGAGTTAGGGCAGTGTTCTTGCTTTTATTCCCTGAGCTCTGGCACCATCTAGCGGTGGGTTCGCGCTTACTAGTAACATAAATGCAAAAGTTGTCATCTTTCACGCACTGATCCACCGACTCTCGCTCTAACAGTCGATGCTTTTCATGGTCAGCATGCGGCGCTGGAGTCTCAGCAGTCATCACCAGTCCACCACAGGGCCAGATTTAGAGACAACAACCATTCAATCTCACATTTAAACCTATGTTTTATTTAAAGTGCTTAATTAACCTTATGCCTAACCTGATTTTTTTAGACTGGGAGAGAAAGCCTGGTGAAAACATGCTCACACACAAAGCAAACAAACAAAGATGGAGGTCAAGGAAGGGATGTAACTCAATGCAACGTAACACAGAGGCTGCCCCAGGTTCCTTAAACACACCTTTGTTATTAGAAATGTATTGGAGGTGGGGTTTCTTATGTGGACATGTTCATTTTGGCATACGAAATGTTTTGTTTTTATGCAGTTTTCATTTTTTAAATGCACAGCTCAGCCTGAGATTTGGAGACTCCAAACTACGGATGGCTCGATCCGAGACTGGTTAAAATTTCAGGATCGGATACTAACAACTAGAGCACGTCTGATCCGACACCTAAGGCCAAATGCTCAACTTAACTTTGCACAACATGCCGTAAACACACTGGAGAAAAGAAAGGATCGGATTGATATCGGCATCAGCACAGACTCCAAGTTACAGCATCTGGTATCAGACATGAAAAAGTTGTATTGAGGCATCCTTAAATTTAACCTATTAATATCAGCATAACCTAGTATTACCTAACCTTAATCCTAACTACAACCAGAAATCTCAATATAAGGTTCTGCCCCAACCTGAGCAGACCTTGATCCTCATTAGGACAAACAGGCCTGATGAAGTTAATGTTGATCTCAGAAAAGGTTCTTAAAAGGTAACAAAAACAAGTGAAAATGCACATGAACTCCACTCTATTTTTCCACAGAGCTGCTGCAAAATCACAGAACTGCTCTGTCTCTGCTGAATTCAGCCACATGTGTTCAGCAGAGATAAGAGGCTCGCTCTCTTATGCGCACACACACACACACACACACACACACACACAGACACACAAAGGGCTAATGATCAAATTCCAAACAATCCCAGAGTAAATCCTTTCCATCCCTGTGTCCGGTGCAGCATCCACTCGGGGAAAAAATGACTTTTACCTAATCAGGATTTTCAAAGGCTCAAAATTTAGAATGACCTTAAATGTAATAAACATGTTATTTGTGTTATGGTTTAAAACATTGGACTCCTCACCCCTTTGTCCACACTCTTCTTCACCTCCATGGAGAACGTTCCCGTCTTCCTGTTGACCATGGCATTTCTCAGCTATCAATTCAAATCAAACAATGAACACATCAGATTTTATTTTCTCAGACAAGTAAGCTGATGTTAAGTTTTTAATTTTTGGACAAACACCAACACAGCACCTGAATGAGCACCTGTTACAAACCACAGCTTTAAACATTCATTTAGCCCTATCGCCTCACTGACCGTGTCGTCCTTGTCCTCCCACTCCACCTCAGACAGGTCCACGCTGCTGTAGTTTGGCTTCCTCCGCTTTTTACCATCACCATACTGGAAACAAGTAAACAGATGCAAAATAAACCCACAGTAATTCATGCCCAAATGAGTCAAAAAAGAAAACACCAGTTAGCAGAGATATAGTTAGGTGTACCATTAAGTGTCTAGGGGAACTCTGACTTCCACTGGAGCGCAACTGTGACAGGACCGTCGCTCGGTCGTCAACACACACAGACTATCGTCGCTCACTATCCTCGCTCACTAAATTAGCACCTTCACATTAATCAGTTAGTTAGCAGTTAACACAGGCGTATTATGAATTGAAGAAAAACGCCCCAGTGGCTGACACTGGGAGAGACGTCGTACAGGTCTTCATTCAGCCCACGTCGATGCGCTTATCTTCTTAAATGCAAATCAGGATCTAAAAAAGCGGTGGTGGAGCAGGACTGTCATTATGAGTAGGCTTACTGGATCACATCTTTTTTTTTTTCCTCCCAAATTGTTTTGCAAGCATTACGTTTTTTTCTTTTGCATTAACTATGTAAGCTACATGTGTTTACGTAATGCTAATTATTAAAGAGCGTTCCCTCCTGCTGTGACTTGAAGCTATCCAACCCAATACATACATACATATATATACTGTATATACACATACATATATAAATATATATATATACACATACATATACACACATACATATATATATGTATACATATGTGTACATTTTTATGTATATATTTAGTTTGTCATTTTATTTTGTCACTACATTTCTTTTCATACCGAAAAAGTACCAAACCGTGATGTCAGTATCGAGATATGCGCCAAACCGTGACTTCCCTTTACCACTTTTTTTCCCTGTAACATGGGTCTTTAAGGCGGTAATTTGAATTTTAAAACACATTTTAAAACAGTGAGGTTCACAGAGACAAATACTTAATGTAAAGTTACATTACGTATGTGACTTTTTTCTAAATTTGTCTCCTTTTCTTTCTGTTCCTCTTCCTCCCTCTCCACTCCTCTTCGCTGCTGTTTTCTCTCCTATCCTGATTGATGTGAACATTAAAGAGGCTACAGAACTAGTGTGCATCTCCTCTCACCCCCCCCACTCCCATTCCTCCATCAGCCTCCCTCCTCTCATTAGCTACTTAACTCCCTCCATTCGTGTCTTTGATTAGCCACCATTAAATCCATTGGCCGGCGCTGTGGTCTCGCCAACATTTCTACCCATATGTTTCACTCCGCACCTTTTACCTAACATCCAGCAGGTCTCTCAATCTCCCCCCCCCCACTCCTATTTGACTCCCTCTCTCTCCTTCATCCTCTTGTCAGAATACAATGGAGTTAATCACAGCCATTCACAGCCTGTATCTGTGTCTATTCACTCAGCACAGTGGAGGCCTGCAACACTCTCCGCCTCATCTGCATAACACCATGCTGCCAACACACAGCGTGTAAACAAAGCCTGCACACCACAACTGCTACTACACACACACACACACACACACACACACACATATAGACAGTTTAAGTTAATCGTCATCACCGTGCAGTAACAAAATTTAAGTGCTAGATCCTGAACCTCACCAAAGGTCGCAGATCCGGGTGTGTGAGGATGTAGCCATTGTTGGTGATTGCAAACGCATATCCGTGGATGCCTAGCTGTGTGAAAGGAACACAAAACAATAATTAAACATGAGACAGATTATGCTCCACGATGCATCCCAGGCAATCAAGCTCTTTGTCGGTGGCACTTGCTTAATCTTTGGCATCATTTAGTTCCTGCATCATGAAACACCACACTGTCTGAGTAAAATCAAATACAGGACTCAGCATGTGGCAGAGGAGACTCGGAAAAAGCACTGGTGAAAAAAAAAAAGTACAATTTTCACATCATGACATGGAATAGAATCTAGAAGTAATTTCTTTCAAACAAAAGAAAACAAAAATGAACTCTAATTTGTCTTCTGTTGAACTCGATAACTACACTGTACCGCTGTACTGATAGATGCATAGATCGATGTAAGAAGTATTTATGTGAAGATTGTTTTCCTCTTGGAAAACAGTTGAACAAACCAGGCAAACAAACAATATGACCTCATATTAAGGTAGGCCTTTAGCTAACCAAATTAGTAAAGTCACATGATTAACAAGTGACCCTTATATGAAAACTGGAGGTGCAAAACAAAACCTTTAAAATGACAGCATACAGATTATCAAGTAACAAGTTACACAGTGAAGTCGTTACTGTTTTTGCGAGAAGAGGGTCCTGGGTTCGATTCCCAGAAGAACCACCAACTTAATGGTGTCTCTAGTGGCAGCTTGTGTCATTTGCAAATACTCACTGTAGATTTTCCAATTGAGGGACGAATAAGAAACGTCCTAATCTTCAATGATAATAATGACTCACACACCATGTGGCCACTCTACATGGACATAACCTAATCATTCAACCCACTCTATTATAACTGATGTATGAACCAGATGTGTGTGGTACCTTATATTTGGGAATCGCCTTGAGCAGCTCAGAGACAGGGACATCTGTTCCAACCACACCTAGAAGAATCCCATGGTTCCTCTGGAAGCATGTTAGAGATGTTATATATTATATTATATATATTAATTTTTTTTTCTCTCATTGAGAATTGTCATGCTCTGCTGTTTCTACATTTGCAGAATCCAATTAAACTGTAATTAGTTTCTATCAGATCCAAACATAATGAACAATTAATTTCTCATTTGCATGTTTTTGTCTGTAAATCCAGAATTGAGCAAGTGTTGATTGAAAATTGGAAGGATTTAGGAAAACCCAATTACGGGTTTAAGGCTGCGAGCTGATCATTCACCATCAATGTGTTTGTTTGTGTGTGTGTGTGTTTACTTACAGTCTCATTCTTAGTACTAAACACAGGCATGGCCACAGTGGTCATCAGAACTGGACCCTGACCGTCCTCCAGCTGACACCCAGACAGTCAAAGGTAACATGGAGGCAGAGGGAGAAACGGGAGGACAAAACTCAATTAATTATGGAATGAAACATTCAAACAATCTGAACGTGTTCTAGTAGATCATTATTTAGAACCATTTCCACAAAAACACACAGTCTGACTCACTATAATCTGATCCAGAGGCCTATGGCTCCTCTCTCCCTACAGACTGTTGAAGTAATTACGTTACTTATCTGTTGAGCTGCCAGCTGCATCAAGATAAAAATGTGAAGCCTAACCTAAAGTAAATATCACTGAAACATTCACTGACGTGAAAGGTACAAATTTTACCCTACAGTACCAATGGATTTGGACTTTACTTTTCTTCTGATATGAGTGTCTGTTTGGTGTAGTCCATATGGAGTACTGGTTTCAGCACTGCCTTTGTCCAACACTCTGGGTAAAGACAATGTTTTTCCTTCTTACACTGTTCAGTGATGCAGAACCCAGCAGTAGCAAAATGTCTGCTAGCTCCTCTTGGACCTATCTATCTTGCCCTTCCCCATGTTCTTTTCTCTGCTATTTGAACAAAATCTGAAAACATCCTAAAATCTAACAGCAGCCAAATGTAGTCACAACAATACTGGATTATGTAGACTGGTTTACTGGTTCACATGGTTTAATAAAATAATCAAATTCCAGCAGTAATCTTTGTTAGATTAGTGAATTGGCCCACTTACAATGAAAAAGACGCTCAGTTAAATGTCTTTGTCTTCTGTTAGCACAAAATTCTGACAGTCATTCCACCTTAAAACAACCGCATTCCTTTTTTACTATTGCTTGGTGAGTGGATGTGCCACTTGTTTCGTCATAATACGGGCTTAGCTGCATTTACGCCTCTCTTAACTCCACTGCACAGTTAGCAATAGGCTAACCTGCAAAACAGCGCCACATAGCCTAAAGCGCTGACATTGGCTGGCTGCGTAAGTATATACGTCTGAACTGTATCACATAATTGGCTAAACTGTTGTGTTTATTTTACCAACAAATCATGTTGGATCTTATTTTATGTCCAGCATAAATTTGCTGTACGTGGAGAACGCGGGCATTCCACTTTAAAACTCTCCTGCAGTCCTGCAGTTTCACCCACTTTCCCCGGAGTAATAACATGTAATGAGAGGAACACTGATAACCATCCACGAGTCTGACTGGAACAAACAAAGTGGTGACTGAAGCTCAGACGGTTGATAATGGCTATGGCAGAAACTGGTGAGAAGGACATTAAAGGAAAAAAAAAAAGTTCAAGGCGGCTGGAACATCAGAGGACCTCGCTGCTGGAGAACAGGATCGATCAGAGGAAATGAAGGAGAGATTCATCTGAGCTCAGGTTTATTGGATCATATATCAATGTTACTGAAACATAGGGAATCACTTCCACTGTGCGTCCCCATAACATGGTGATGAGCAGATAAATCAAGAATGGTTGGTGTTCGGTAGATAGGTTTCTGTTGTTAATCAAGTTTTTCTTTTTAATGCAGGCGGAAAATGTTCTGAGTTGTTTGATATAAAAGGCAGTGCAAAAGTGTTTGAAGCCTCTGTTGGGAAACAAAAACTATAAAGTTGCACTATTTTTTATAGTTTTTTTTTGTACTTTTTTTGTATAGTCTTTATTGTCATTGTAACACAGGGATACAATGAAATTGAGCCTCTGCTTTTAACCCATCACCGAGGTGAGCAGCGGGCAACTTTGGTCAGGTGCGACATATATTAAAATATAGAATTTGACATGTTATTTTCACACTAACAGACGCTAGAGGGCACTCTAGGCTTGTATACCAGTATCTGCTACTCCTGTATCCCTGAAAATGTATACATATGTATGTATGTTCATTATTTTCACATTGACAGCCGCTAGAGGGCACTGGTTCAACTTGTACTCCGGAGCGACTTATATGTGTTATTTTCTTCTTCATTATGAATGTTTTGGCTGGTGTATGTTATACTTCGTAACCACATAGTCTTGAAAATACGGTATATATTTTCATATAGCATTTTTTTAAAAGCCAGTGTTTGTTTTTGTTTTTTTGTTTTTTGTATTTTTCACATAGTGTGAAATTGCACTAGTTTGTAAAGTAGTAAGTAGTACTTGTAAAGTATGTAGTATTTCCTTTGTTCAATGAGAAAACCAATTTTGCAGAATTTAGTGTTTAATATAAGTGTTGATTTGAAGCATTGGCTGTGAATGTGTTGACATGTCTGTTCAGGGAGGGGCAATAGTCCTATGTACAAAAAGGGGTAAAACTCAGTAATAAAACATAACTTAATCCTATCTGATGAAGTGGCCCAATTGTTAGCTTTGTTTTTACACCACAAAACATACAAGATGTGTTTGCAATTGCTTAGAACTTTTTGACATGTATATTTCCAGCAGAAAATCCAGAATGTTCACTGGGGTTTAAACATCTAGGAACAGTCTAGCAATAGGTAAGTTAGGTAAGTCCAAATACACAATGACAACGACACAATTACAACAAATTAGACAAAATACCTCAAAACCCAGCTACTTGAAGGATAGCTGCAGACCTCAAAACCAGCAGTGGATGATCTCATATATTTTTAACTAGCATAAAGAAATGCATGAGGCTGCAGCGTCTGTCAGATTTAGTGCTAACACCACATTATGAGCTGACCCTCGCATGCTCTACACCCAATGGACCAACAGCCTTCACACCTGTGCTTAATTATTCTAACCCAGGAGGAAGAAAGAATCCTTGAACCCTGAGCAAGATGTTCTGCCCTTAAATCCCTAAGGGAGTGCTCTTCCACAAGAAGTCTACTTACCATACAAATCTGTGACCTCTAATGTAAGGTAGGGACTCAGCAAACATCTGGGCCAAATCCACTTTCTCTTGAGAACCAAACAAAATCAGACTCAACTACGAGGCTCGTTTGTTTTAAGTGTAAGATCTAAAATACTCTGTTGGGTTTGAAGTGGGCAAACTCAGACGAACCTTGTGGGATTTAGCGCTGGCACAGACCCAGAGCTCAGATATGTGCTCAGATATTCAGGAATTATCTGTCAAAGCTCTCCATTACCTCAGTCAATATTTTAACTTAAGCACAAGAGTGTATATTTAAGCGCTGTGATATTTTCATTAGCTCTCCAGTTCATCACCATAGGGCAAAATTAGCTTGGTTTTAACATCTAACGATTTGAGCATATGAAATCACACACACATTTCTCAAAATAGTCTCTATACTCAAATTTCACTTATTCATTCTTTCATCGTCCTTTCCCTTGTCCCAGGACTCTGGTGTCAATTCATCTGACAGAGTAGGAAACGAAGCCAAGTGAGCCAGAGAATAATGGATGATGCTGGAGTACAAGTGAAAAAGGAAGGGGGAAAACAGGAGAGGAGCGATGATCACAATGGAAACTAAACTAAGAAAAAAGAGATGATTGGGAAAGATAAAGATTATTGGGTTGAATTGAGAGAAATATGAAAAATGGTAGAATGAATTGAAAAGATAGAATGATGAGCAGAAATTGTAAAAATTGGTCAAAATAGCTTAGGACGAGGCAAAAGAAAAAGCTAAAATTCTGCCAGAACTCACTAAAATAACTATGAAATCATCAGCTATCTATCAATCACCAAAAAAAAGGACCAAGCTAAATGGCTTCAAATGCTTCTCAAATCAATTTTTAAACAACAAAAGCCGACAAATAGCTAAGAGCTAGCAAAAATCAATTGTTCCCAAATATGATCAAACAGACCGTCAACTCAGTTCCATCACAGAAAAATATCTCTGAAATATGGACCAATATATGGCTGTTTGACATTTCAGGTCAGCTTGGCAAGTGAAGGGCAAAGGTCGATTATGTCATTATCGTCGTTATCATTAATGACCTGCTTATTCCAATCCACTAATAGTAGCAACCACAGGAAAAAAAAATTCTAAAAGAACAAATCCTCTCAATCAGTAATGACTCTGAGGTTTCACACCGAACGAAAATCATCATTCCGTAGACTCCACTCAAACATGAACACAGAACAATCTTGTGTCGTACTGAAAATAACACAAAGTGATCACAAACATACGGTCACAGTGACAAGTCCACAGATGCTTGTGCAGAACAAGCAACGCGGTCTTCAGTGATGAATGAGGTTTGAGCAGACGTGCAACAACCAGACCGGTTTCAACAGAGGTCCGTTGTTAAAATAGTGGAATGCAGGATCTGTGGTTTTTATGGGAGACAATTTCATCAATGTGCAACGGCATTATTACTGCAAATAATGCAGTTGCTTGTCTGTATCTAATGGTTAAGCCTAATTCACTAAACCTTACTTTTAGCATTTATGTTTTTAAAAAAACATCTAATATGCACCTGCAGACTTCAAGCAATTTTTACTATTTTTCACAATTTTTTTGGACTCAGAGATGACCAATAACTAGCCCTTTTTCTCATTGTAAAGAAAGATATTAGTATTGGTTAGATGAGAGAAAACGTCTGAATAATTAAGGGGACATATTATGCGCTTTTATTTGTGAAAGAGAAATGGCTGACGGTAAAATGTCAAATTATGACAGGCACATGTGAATTTTTTTTTTTTTTACTGCTTATGTGGAGTGAGGCAGGGGTATGGCATTCTGGCAGGTATGGTAAAGAGTACAGCACACCAAAAAACAAGAAGAAGAAGTTTAAGAAGAAATTCAACGGCCGAGTATAAACTTGGAGGTTCTACACGTGCACTGTGCGGAGGTCACCACATTGGTGGAGAAGAGCCCTATTTGGAGCGATAACACGTGCACTGTGCGGAGGTCACCACACTGGTGGAGAAGGGCCCTATTTGGAGCGATATGCACACTTGGTGTGTTATTGATGCAGCTCACCACTGCGCCAACTGCATAATTGATGTGCACCCCTGCGCAATATGAGACACATGATGTGCACCATTAAGTGCGAGGCAAAGGTAACGGCTAAAGCTGTAATGTGACACGACACAATGATTGTCAATCATCAATGGTTTTGATGGATGGGGGGTGGAAGGGTTACTAGGTAAATTTTGCTTAGGGCCCCTATTTGGTAAGGGGTGGCGCTGGGTGGAGCTACCCAGATATGGCGTTATTATAATCACCTGGTTTCATCACAGAGTAAATACATCCGAACAGTTTCCAGATTTTGGCAGGTTATAAAACATCTACTCAATTGTCAAAACTGACATGGCAGAGACACAAGTCTGTGTGCCGAAGCCCTGACAAAGTCAATTTTGCATAATATGTCCCCAAGAAGTACATTAAATACAACAGGTTTGTCATCATATAAATCAAGCAGCCTCATGCTAACGCTAGCCTAGAGGAGAACCACAGTCTGCAATGGCGTTAGCTGTGTCCACTCTTTATATATGGTCCAATGTAATAATAAGAATATACAGTATAAGCATCTTATTAATATTGATGCTAAAAAAAAAAAAACGTCAGATTGATTCATTATTGCACATCCTTCTTTTTGAATTTGGACAGGGACGAAACAAAACAACACTAACACACACATAAATGTCATTCGCCAACATGGTTGTATGGGATCATTTGCTTGCAATACACAGCAGAGACCCAAGACCAAAATGCACATGCACATGAACACACACCAGAACTGTAACACAGCACGATACACCGAACAGCCTAACATCATTTTGATTATTGTTTTTTTTTTTCCTCTCTCCTTTTACCTTTTGTGCTTGGGGAAGCTAAAGAGAGCAGGTCGAAAAGGAAAGGGAAGAAGAAGGGGAAAAGAGGAGAGACAGGGTCAATACGTCCGCGCCTCAAAGTGTCAGAAAGATTTTTCAGTGTGGTTTCTACTGAACAAAGAGCTGCAGCTTCACTGGGGGCTTTACATCAACAGCCTGCGACCTCCACTAAACCTTAAAGAACACGGACAGCGTCCACGCCGCAGTGAGTTTATGGTGATGGAGTGTCGAGCAGGGGGAGCAGGACTTCTGTTCTCACCTTTAACTCTGTGCTGAGAACGACATGAATGTGACTGAGATAGTTGTAGGGATAATGAGGATAGGAAAAGAAGGAATGAGGAGGTTTTTGACACCTTAAAATGGTCGAGTACTTTTCCTAACATGCAGCAAATCTGATTATTGCATTTACAAAGTATTTGGGTTGTTTGTTTTTGGCTTCCTCTTGCAAATTCAGTGTTATCATTTTATTATCATGTGACTTAGTTAAGTAGTAATATTCCAAATTTGCAGAACTAACAGCCGTGTTTTTGGCTTCCTCTTGCAAATTCAGCGTTATCATTTTATTATTGTGTGACTTAATTCTGCAAATTTGGAATATTACTGCTTAACTAACAGCCAAGGCTCAGAGTACATTGTACTCACATTAGATTTTTGGGCCACATTTGGGTGGTTTGCAGGCCATAAAAAAAGTTTAAAACCCCTGATTTATGGTCATGTTTCTCTGACTTCTGATTTCTTTCTGCTGTACATTTCTCATCTACGTAACTTGGAATTATCCAGTTCCCAATCCTGCAACACTTAGACACAGAGAAGCCCTGTAAAAATTACCGATATATTTGAAAACAACGGTGAAGACAACTAACATGAATTGAAACCTTTTATGATTTGAAAGTGTTACGTCCCAAAACTATGTAGAACTGAGTTGCACTCATGTTTCGAAAAGTTTACTGTCAACACATTACCGAGTGATTAAAAATCAATGACATTTCTTTTCTGGATCCATTCCATTCCAGTGAAAACCAAAATCACATATTGGTCTTTTGTATTAGTTCCAGCCTGCTGTGCCAAAGAAACTGAGTGCATTCAATTCCCTCCGTCAGTGTCAGAGGGTTTATGGTGAAATCTGAGATCAACACTGTTCTACTCAAGCTTCATGAGTCTCAAACACACACTGGAGCCCCATTGACTTAATAGTTCCATCTGCTGTGCACACACACAAACACACACTTTTACACACAACTCCCACACAAACAGCCTGAGACACATGTTTAAACGGCTTCTGATCACTGCTCTTTTTTTTTTCCCTCTGCTGTTCTTCCATTCCTTCTGAAAGGCCACACTTTCTGAATCACTCGTCTAACAGTGACTTTTCGGGGGGGTGAAGAAAGGACAACGGCACTGCCAAAAGAGAGAGATGATGCTGTCGACTCACAGTGTTATCAATGTAGGCCTCGGTCCACACAGTGTCGTGCTCACGGTCAATCACCTTGGGACGACTAAGGACGTGGAGATACTCCATCACGTTCTCCTGAACATCTGCTAACGTGGAAATCTGGGTGAAGTAGCCTAGGAGGAAGAGAAAAGGTAAAGGTGAAGACAAAAAAAAAATGTGAAAAGGTGCAGAGGTTTGTGAAAATGATGTTGAATTTGCTGTAATCATCTCTTCGACTGAAATATCTGTAACAGGGATTGTAGACCCTTACATTTTTTTAACAATGTTGATAATTTGATAAATTGTGTCTGTTAAAGCAGAAGACCATTATTAAACTGCAAATACAGAAAAGGGAATAGAAGAGTCAAAAGACATTAGAAAATAATTTGACATACGAACGTTTTGGCTTAAAAAAAAGTGGATTCTCGTTTTGAAATTGAAATGGACAGCGCATTTGCGAACGATCACTGGTAGCTTTGTTTACCTAGACGAGATTGTACACAGCATACTATTGGCTAATACAATGTGTACTCGGTGTACTATTGGATTATTTAACATGCTCTTCTGTCCCTCACGCTGATTGGCTCATGCATCGTAGCATCTCTCAGCATCTTTCCTTGTCTGTCGGCCACTCTCTCTTTCTCTTTGCACTATGTCGTCATTCT